ATGCTTCCCATCAATGGCCCCACAGCACAGAGGGAAGTTCCATCGGACCTCAAAGTCCTGCGCTATGGACCTCCACTCCTCTGCTCCAGGCACAGCCATGAACTTCTCCACGAGGCAGTCCCAGATGGCTGCCACCACATCTGGGATGAGCATGGAGACGGTGGATATGCCCACTTTGAAGCTCCCCGCAATGGTCCTGTAGGAGTCCCCAGTGGCAAGAAACCTGCAATTACAAAATGATATGAACATATTGTTGCATAATACTGTTTTCTGAGCTATTACATTGTGGATTGTGATTGAAAAATGACAAACTTTGTAAGTATTTAGGAATTCCGAATGGGGTAAAAAACACTAACCGCAGACAGATGGACAGGCGCTCTTCAGCTGGAATAGAGCGCCTGTAGTTGGTGTCCTGGTAGGAGATCCTACCGCCAATGCGGGTCAGTAGGTCGTCAAACTGGGCCAGGGAGAGACGAAAGTACCGCTGAAAGCGACCCTCATCCGAGCGCAGCTCCCGGAGCAAATGGTGAAACTCACCAAACTCCAACCGTCTACGGACTATCTGATGAATCCAGACATGTCGTCGATTCGCCCTTTGACGACGTTGTCTGGCTTTATTTATCAGATAAAGCAACTCCTTCGCTGACATCCATGTTGGGAAGCTACAGGCAAAAGAGACAAGCCCCGCCCCTAAACGCTCTCAACTCTCTGTGACAGCGGCTGCCCTCTAGTGTCCTGGCCGCGCGGCCAAGTTTCTCTGTGACAGCGGCTGCCACAATTTGTCAGAAGCGGCCCAAGCCGCGTGATAGACGCGATTTGGCCGCAGAAATCGCGTTTGGTCTGAACGCACCATTATTTTGTTCAGCACTTTGAGTTGCCTTGTGTATGAATTGTGCTATACACATAAACTTGCCTTGCCACGAAAGAAGCGTTCGCATATATACAACCACCAACACTCCACTCAGACATTTCATTTTCACAAATTATTACAACACACACACACACACACACACCCCTCTCCTCACAATTACATCATGATGTCATGTTCTCTCATCCTTTTCTTTCACATAACTTTTGAAATATCTTTTGACCTGTGTCAAACTTAAACAGGGTTAAACTAGTCATAGTTAGTTGTAAATAGAGTAGTTAGTAGGTATATGAATCTTGGACTCAGCTGTACTGTTATTTATGTAGTTGGCTTGTAGGTAGGCCCCTCCCAACCTTGTATATCACAAGAATACTAAATATGGTTTTGTTCACAGTCACATTGCCAATGCAGAACTCCATATAGTCCAGCACTGCCTCTGTGAACATTTCCAGGTCTTGATGTTCAAATAGGTGCCAGTTCGTCTGTTCAAAACAATCCTGTAGTTTGGGGAATGCGTCATCAGGCCAGATTGTGACAGACTTTATGGCAGGTCTGGTGCTGTATCGTAGAGGTGTGTAGGCTGGAAAGAGCAGGAGGGACAGATGATCTGATTGCCCCAAGTGTGGGAGGGGAATAGCTCTGCATGCATGCTTAATGTTTGTATAGACATGATCCAAGGTGTGCCAGTTAAAATGACAACAGTTAGCTCTCTTGGTAGAAAATTTAACAGACATTTAATAGACATGTACTCGAGATCAGGGGAGCAGTGATTGTCTATAATTGTCCCGTTGTTACACCAGTTCTCATGTACATACATGCAGAGCCCGCCCCCTCTGCTCTTACCGGAGTTCTCAGTCCTGTCACAGCGGAGCAGAGTGCGTCCTGCTAGCTGCACACTAGCATCGGGTATCCCTGGGTGAAGCCAAAATTCAGTGATGATCAAAACACAACAGTCCCGTACATAGCGATTCCCTGCAAGATGTTGTTCCAAGTCGTCCATTTTATGTACCAGTGATCTTGCATTGGAGAGATACAGGCTCGGTAGAGGTGGCTTATTTGGTTGTTTCCTTAGCCTTAGCATGACACCGGACCGGCGGCTCCTCTCCCTCCTCCGCCTGCGCTGCCTCCCAGACCCGATAACAATCCACGGAGAGCCCAGCGGTCTGGCTATGTCGATGGGGATGTTGTGTGCGTCATGAAAGTCACTCGAAACGCAGATCTGGTGCTGTACACCAATGTCCAAAAGGTTCTGACGGGTGTAGCTGATGCTCGCGAAGCAAATGTTGCACAGACAGATAAAGCATATGTACAGACAAAAGATAGCACTGGGAGGGAGAGCTGTGAGCCGCTGCACTCATGCGCGCCGCCATTTGCAGAAGTAGGTGTATTTATTGCGTGCACAAGTCACGCACAGGTCACGCAAAGACACGCACACAACATGCAGAGAAAAGTCCTGTGGCGTGTATGGTCTTATATTACCACATTACTGCGGCGCCATTCACCGTGTTGTTGTTAGCGGCTCACAGCCAGAGCGGCCGCAGCTGCCCCGAGTCAGAACGCTGCCGCCACGGAGGAGGCGGACTTCAGTTCATGGCAAACAACAGCAAGTGCCCCGCGGTCACGCACAAACAGTATTCTTTTAAAAGTTGAATTCCCAGAGACCTGTTCTGTTGCCATCTCACACACGCATGTGTCCGTGGCATTATGGGATACATGGGCAGGTCATTCAGACATGTGTCAAACAGGTTAATTTTTTTTAAACGTGATTCATGAAAAATGTAATTAACGTGCGTTAACACAATAATTTTGACAGCCCTATAAAAAGTCATCTTTTTAGAGTAGCTTTTGATTAGTATGTATATTTAGTATTGCTTTTTAGTACATCTATTTATATTTTTAGACACATTCTATTTTTATTTATTTATTTATTATTTTTTTTAATTATTTATTGTATCTACCCATTTACTATTGTTATTATCGATATTAGGCAGCTGCCATTTTTCTTTTTAGTGTCTCATTTTATTTTTCAACTTTCTATTGTATTATTGTATTGTTTTAGTGTCCCCAGTGTTTCCTCTGGAGGAGCCCTCTGCACTGGGAGCTGGGGTCTGCTGTGGCTTCGGGGGTCTGGCTCTTGGATCCGGTGGGGGTCTGGGGCCTCCTCTCTCCTCTGGGTCCTATGGGGTCTGAGTCCTGGGCCTGGTGGGGTCTGGGGCCTCCTCTCTCCTCTGGGTCCTATGGGGTCTGAGTCCTGGGCCTGGTGGGGTCTGGGGCCCCTCTCTCCTCTGGGTCCTATGGGGTCTGAGTCCTGGGCCTGGTGGGGTCTGGGGCCCCTCTCTCCTCTGGGTCCTGTGTCGTTGCCTGTGGCTGCAGCCGGCTCTCTGCTCCTGGTGCAGATGGCTCCTTGGATGACGCTTCTTCAGCCGGTTACATCTGCTCCCAGCCCCATTTCTTTTTATTGTTTTACCTATTTTACCTGATATGACTTTATACGTCTGTGTGTGTGTGTGTGTGTGTGTGTTGTTGTGGTGAGTTTCATATATTAGAATATATGGTACTAAAATTCACTGATACATTTGCAGACAAAGGCCGCTTGTCCTGCACAAAGAGGCCTTCACTTTCACATGACCTTCTCTGAGGCGACGGTACCATGTACCACTCCTTTGATCGTTATAATGTTAAATGTTTGACAGGTGCACTATCATTCTTTTGCCCTTCTTTTACCTCCTCTTCCTCTTAACTCAACCCACCTTACCCCCACTGTGGCATGTCTTGTTCTTTGTTCTAGCTTTTTGCAGGACTATATTACCAAATGTTAGATGTGAGCAGACCAGAGAGAGACGACGCAGACTTTGAGTGTGCGTCGCTTCTGTCTGACTCTGCAGAGTTTTATTGTATTTATTTATTCTCATCACCTTTTAAATAAATTGCACAAAGACAAGCTGTTTTCTCTCGGATCCATTCATTGAAGTATTTAAATTTCCACTATAGTGTGTGTGTGTGTGTGGTTTTGGGGGGGTCTGTGGGTTTTTAACTAAACTGTAATGCAAATTTGATTGATTGATCTTTTTCATGGTGTGGCCTATACATTGCCACAGCATTAAAGGACATTTCAGGGGAAAGGCAAATTGTGACTCTCACACATTCTAGTTGATTATTTGGGAAGTTAATCAGTTTGCATTGGAGACCACTGTTAACATAGAGCAGGACCCCACCTTGTTTGTGTGGTCTGTCTCTTCTAAATAAGTTGTAGTTCTGAATTTTGTAGGTGCCTGCTGGAGAGTTCTTTGTTAGCCATGTTGTTGAGAGCCTAAGTTAGTCAATGTTTGAGCCGTTTAAAAGTTTTTCTAAATGTTACATTTTTAAAGAGAGGCTTCTGATGTTAATATGCCCGCCAAAAATCTCTTCTGGCTTCACATCAGGGTCCCATAAGATTTTGGCATGATTGACAGTGCAAAGTAGTTGTTTGTCTAAGGCCCAGTTAAAGTGAATTGTAAAACATGTTTCTCTACTGTATGTCAATTTACTCCATCCTCTTGCTTATGATATGTTCACTTAAATACAGCTTTTGTATTTGACATTGTATATTTGTCATTATATGTTCATCCCCTAATACAATATATTTTAGAGTATATTCAAAAATACATCTAAACAATTTACATTTATTGAACTATATCTTCAAATATACAGTATCACAATATATTTTAGAATATCTTGCTATTTATTCTTGTATCATAAGGAGGAGCAGCTCCTTCTCTCATCAGGAGGGAAAAAGAAGTGAGTATTCTTCACGGACCTCTATTGTATCACCGGGGTTGTAAGTGGAGACATTTTGAGTTCAGCCAAGTTAAGATCAAGATAAGGAAATCTTTTATTCGTCCGACAGTGGGGAAACATGATTTTACATGTACAGAGATTTTTAAGTCACAGTACAGACATGAGTCAATATTAGTTAGAATCCCATTCAAAAGTATGTCCCTGCAGATAAAGCCTGATTAAATGTAAAAGTAGCATAGATAAGGGGTAAGAGGTCATAGGTTACTCTACCCTAAACTTAGGCACGTTACCATTTGAGAGCTTTTGTAGATATTTGAATGTATTTAATAAAATGTCATGTAGTTTGTGCATGGATTCACTTCAGAGATTTAGCGTGTGCACGAATATAGTCGTTTCCATAATTAATCATGTTCCTCAGAGCGAGCAGAATGAGAGTGCTGACGTTGTCATCAGTGTCAGTTTCATGACTGTAGTTCTTCACTCCCATGATGCAGTTCTCAACGAGTCCCACGGCTTTGCTGAACTCTTTTATCTGCACACATGAGAAAATGTCATGATAAACAACATATCATGTGTTTTATCCCCTCACTGTTATGAAAACAAACTTCCTGTTTATATGTTTAATGCCATATTCTTTTTCCAGGCAGTATTTTATTACTTAGTCAAGATTGCACACACAAAAATGAGCACTAACAATATGGGACCATCCAAATAATGCCACGGATTCTGATAACAACATTTGAGTTAGTAAACACAACTCAAACACACTGATTTCTTGCCTACAAGAAATCCCTCCATACAATACGATACAGACTATGTACAAATTAAACAGACCAATACCCACGCCAGATGCAAAACACCACAGGCCCCAAACCCTGCAAGACGTCAGGGCAAGTGCAGGCCCACTACTAGACACATACACCTCTTTAATAGTGTCCACAATCCAGTCAGACATTCTGGGCTAAATCTAACCCTAACGGTCCTTTGTATTTAGTGTCAAAATACACATGGTTTTTTTTCCCCTTTAATTTCAATGCTGATATGTGTGAATGTGTGTGTTTGTCGATGCTCTTTGAAGGCTCTGTGTAAAACCTATTTTTCGTAAAACTCATGGTTAAAAACAACATTGATATTGGAAAATGTGGATTCAAGATAGCTCATTTAAATGTGTGCAGCTTAAGAAATAAGAACTATAATTTACCAGTGTTAGTATTATCAGAAACACATTTAGACTTTACTTTAAATAGTCCTTCTTTAAGTATAGAAGGATATAATATTTACTGATTAGATAGGAGTGTACATGGTGGAGGTGAAAGTAATGTGGGTACAACTACAACTGCCTCATATGAAGCCTGTTCTTATTGGACGCTGCTACCGACCTCCAAGTGCTGCCATAATGTATCTCCATCAAATATGTGAAATGTTGGATAGGGCATGTGATGGTAAAAATGAAATATTCTTTCTAGGAGATTTAAAAATAGACTAGGAATCTCAAGGTTGCAGTTTCTCTAGTGAATACCTGTAATCTATCACAGCTGGTCAGTGATGACACCAGGGTACATGCAAAAGCTCATGGTACACATTCAGCAACATTAATTGATTTCATTTTTACAAATGTGCCAGAGCTATGCTCTGAAGCTGTGTCCACTCCAGTCAGTTGCAGTGACTATAATTTAATTGCAGTGATTAGAAATACAAAAGTGGTATTGAAACATGCAACCATGGCTGTATATGCAGATGATACTGCTTTATATGCATCTACAGTAGGGCAGCTTAATAACATTCTTAATGAGGAATTATCTCAGGTAGCAAAGAGGGTTCAAGAGAATAAGTTGGTATTATATTCTGAAAAAACAAAATGTATGTAAATTGGGTCACAGTCCATGTTGAAAGAAACACCTAAATTAGATTTGAAATTAGGAGGAAACATGATTGAACAAGTAGAAGAGACAAAATTATCAGGGGTAATGGTTGTCATAGAACCGTCACATTAATTATATAGTTTAAAAAATGGGCAGAAGCTTGGGGATGATCAAACACTGTAGGAAATGTCTTCCACAGTGGTTGACCAAAAGACTTGTTCAGTCATTAGTCCTTTCTCAGATGGATTATGCTTCTGTGGTTTGGTCAAACACATGTGAAAACAATATACACAAATTACAAGTCGCTCAGAACAGTTTAACCTGGCTCACTGTTAAAAGCAGAACACAGTATTATGTATTATATAACAGTATATAGTATTATATAACAGTATATAGTATTATATAACGGTTATCAGGAATGTTGTAGTGTCACACAATCCTTAAACAATATATTATAAATTGAAACGGTTTTCAAATTCTCATGCTTATGCCACACGACAAAGTAGAGATTTAAGGTGTGTGCTCCCTGCATGCAGAACAAATAAAATGCAGAAAAGTGTAGTTTATCGAACCATGGTTGCATGGAACATGTTGCCCTCCTTTCTGATCAAAGAGAGTGAGAAAATACACATTTTCAAAAGAAAATAAAGCTATATCTTTTCACACATGAACATAAAATCACATATTAGTGTGTGGAGGAATAAACACGTAAGTTTATAAGAGAATGTGTCTATGTGTATATATTTTTGAAACTAAAAATGATATAAATATTCTATATTTGAGTGGGACTGAAGCCACTGGAGAACATAACATAATGTTTTAATTGATATATTTTCCTTTTCTAAACTGTACGCAATTTGATTATTCCCTATGCCTATGTTGTAAGAGTAAGATACTTTATTTTTTAATCATCTTTTTATGTTTGTAATTGACTTCTCACTGAGCTGTCATATCGTCAGGAGAGTGGAGTGGAGCTAGAGTGGAGTGGAGTCAGAGCGGGAAGAAAAGGAGCAGAGTTTGTGGCAGCAAAGTGTAGATTTAAAGAAAACCGACGGATTTAAGAAGAAAAAAACTAAAATACTCACAAAATCCGATTTTTATGAAAGTTGTGGGTTCTCTGTCAGCTGAGGTTGAGATGTTTTAATTTACGTTGAGTTCTAAGGGACTTTTTTCTGTGTAGCCCTCGTGAATTTAGTCTGCCGTACCACAGCGCCCCCTGTGGCCATGGGTGGGACTGCTATAAGCTAGTAATACCATATCCAGTTATTATTATAGATCCATGTGAGAGCCACACACATGTATTTTGCGCAATGCAACTCGCCCATATTCAGACGATGCCTAAATATGGGCGAGTTCCGCTAATCTTATCGGCCCCCATGTATGTCACAAGCGCTACTAAGCACAAGACATTCATTTGAATAAGACGTCATCTTGGATCGCCGGGGCTTGGGTCTGTGGCACTAAAAAAGTTGCGCTAGGCCATCATCTCAGGCGCAGGTCTGAAATGCACGGCCCACCACTGGTACATAGTCTATACATGACAATAAGCTACTGAAGTGAACAATGTTTGCCATTGTCATTTTGTTATTCTGTGAAAAATGTCAAAAATATAGAACCAACTAATGGATGAATACTGGCCATTCTTTCTGGCATAGTCATGGGTTCTACTTGTAATATATAAATGTTTTTAATGAGTTATTTTTAAAATATATAAAGCCCACCTGAGGAATTTTACGGTTGCTCCATATGAAAAAAACATCTTAACTAATAACAAATGTGACCTTTTTAAGACTATTTAGCTAAACCTTGTTTTTTAAATTGTTTTTATAGGATTAGAATTTCACTTATAAATGTCCATGAGAGAAGAGTCCTCTCCACGTAAATGCGCCATCTTGAAAAACGGTGGTGGATAAGGGACAAAAAGAATGCGAGAATTGCATTTTCGTTTCACATGAGCCACTGATATCGATGTTTTCACCGTGACCTCACAAGTTTGAAAAAGGAACCATCGAGGAACCATGGAGGACATATATAAAAGAACCATGGAGGACATATATAAAAGAACCATGGAGGACCACAGTCATGTAAAAGAACCATGGAGGACCACAGTTATGTAAAAGAACCATGGAGGACATATATAAAAGAACCATGGAGGACCACAGTCATGTAAAAGAACCATGGAGGACCACAGTTATGTAAAAGAACCATGGAGGACCACAGTTATATAAAAGAACCATGGAGGACCACAGTTATGTAAAAGAACCATGGAGGACCACAGTTATAAATAACCATGGAGACACAGTTATAGAACCATGGAGGACCACAGTTATATAAAAGAACCATGGAGGACCACAGTTATGTAAAAGAACCATGGAGGTCCACAGTTATATAAAAGAACCATGGAGGACCACAGTTATATAAAAGAACCATGGAGGACCACAGTTATATAAAAGAACCATGGAGGACCACAGTTATATAAAAGAACCATGGAGGACCACAGTTATATAAAAGAACCATGGAGGACCCAGTTATATAAAAGAACCATGGAGGACCACAGTTATGTAAAAGAACCATGGAGGACCACAGTTATGTAAAAGAACCATGGAGGACCACAGTTATGTAAAAGAACCATGGAGGACCACAGTTATATAAAAGAACCATGGAGGACCACAGTTATGTAAAAGAACCATGGAGGACCACAGTTATATAAAAGAACCATGGAGGACCACAGTTATATAAAAGAACCATGGAGGACCACAGTTATGTGAAAGAACCATGGAGGACCACAGTTATATAAAAGAACCATGGAGGACCACAGTTATGTGAAAGAACCATGGAGGACCAGTTACGTGAAAGAACGACCCAAACAACAATGTTTTCGAAAAATAATTATGCAAAAGTCCGGCGTCATCACAAACCACACAAAGACAGCGTTAACACAACAGGAGGCACATTGTGTAGTTTGTACACAACAGACTCACGTGAACAATACGTAACTTTTTTCACACTGACAATAATGAGAACGAGGCAGAATCTGCAACACAGTCTCAGGATGTTCTGACCCGATCCGAGCGCAGTCCAACTACTGTCACAAGTTTACACTAAACTTATTCAGGGAAAAAGCCTCAAATAAAAGACACAGAATCCCCACAAAACAATCACAGAATACTTTATCAGCAGCCTGAGTGGATGTTCTGTTTTCTTACTGTGATGAAGATAGGGTGCTATGGCTAACGCTAATAATAACAAGAGCTTTTAGGCATGTAGTTTTAAGATCCTGCAGACGTTAATCTGCGGAGCACTGTCAAAGACACATATTTTCTATCAAAGGCTTCCGTAGTGCCTTGGACTGCAATATAAGATCTCAACGCTAGATGGCACTAAGAATTACACAGTGTACCTTTAAGCAATGGGCTCTATGCACATATCACTTCAGCGTTTTAGTTAACACGACACTTGACTTCCGGTGCGCAGTGATCGGCTTGAGTTTCACTAGAGTTCATCAGATGTTTACAAGAGTTTCCTAAATAATGCTCAAACAGGAATTAAACTGTGAAGATACTGGGCATTTTTGGGATACAGCAGTGCTCTTTGATTGTGCCGTCATTGTGCTTTTAAAGAGTTAACTAATCTCTCTGAGTGGCCACAGTCACAGCTCTACCTCAGAAAG